GAGAGAGATGTACTGGTGTTTTGAGATTCATGTACAAGATGCTTTGAATATTGTTCGGCAGGTTCCTACAAGGCTTGGGAAATTCCAGGAAATCGTAAGTGGAAATTCCACACGCACCAATGACATCATCAGCCGCGTTGTGGAGAGAAGGTAAGTCCAGCTGGTCTCGTTCATTCTACAGAGGTAGACTAAATGGGTTGACGGTTGGTTTCTTTATCTGTGTGTGTTCGTAAGAGTTTTACGACACTCGCAACACAATAAGGTCATGTTGATGATTTGAGGTGTTACAAGCGAGTAACAAGCTTAAAAAAAGAAGGAAGAGAGGTAAGGACGACACATATTAGATAGGAAAGGAGGAGCAAACCACACCAGAGCAGAAGGGAAGTCCAGCTGGTCTCGTTAACTCTACTGTGGTAGACTAGATAAGTTGACGGCTGGTAAATCGTTGACTCTATAGTGCGCTACCTTGGAATAGTACAAAGCTGAATCGGAAATTTTTAGCTGTTTTGAGTAACTAAGACCCTGATTTCAGAAACTAAATGTTCTATCTGCTCTATCAAAATCGTAAGATTATTCTGAGTCTTTATCGAGATGTTCAAAGGATTGCATTTAAAAAAGCTTGACATATTGTGAAACTTAAATATTTATTCAAACTAAGTACTGAGCTGATAGAGCTTTGTAAGTCTAGGGTAGCGAGAGGTCAACAAGATAGGAAGACGGGCTGGTCTTGTTACCTTTACAGTGGTAGACAAGATAGGTAGACAGTACTGGTCTCGTTAACAGCCTGACACACTGACCCCCAAGCCCCGATCTTCTACCTCTCTATGACTGTTTTTTTTTCAGAGAGGACTATGAGAGACGAAACAAGAAGAAACAGGCATCAGAGGAGAGAGCGAACGGTGACAGATACCCAGCTGCAGATGTCAGAAACTGATACCCTGATACTGATGACAGAGACAGATGACAGAGACAGATGACAGAGACAGATGACAGAGACAGATGACAGAGACAGATGACAGAGACAGGTGACAGAGATAAATGAAAGAGACGGATGACAGAGATAGATGACAGAGGAAAATGAAAGAGACAGATACAGATGGCAGAGACAGATGACAGAGACTGAAACCCTGATACAGATGACAGAGACAGATGACAGAGACAGATGACACGGACAGATGACAGAGACAGATGACAGAGACAGATGACAGGGGCCGATGACAGGGACAGATGACAGAGACAGATGACAGAGACAGATGACAGAGACAGATACCCTGATACAGATGGTATAGACGGATGGCAGAGACAGATGACAGAGACAGATTACAGAGACAGATGACAGAGACAGATGATGGAAACAGAGGACAGAGACAGAGGACAGAGACAGATACCCTGATACAGATGGTATAGACGGATGGCAGAGACAGATGACAGAGACAGATTACAGAGACAGATGACAGAGACAGATGATGGAAACAGAGGACAGAGACAGAGGACAGAGACAGATACCCTGATACAGATGTCAGAGACAGATGATAGGAACTGATACCCTGATACTGATGGCAGAGACGGATACCCTGATACAGATGGCATAGACAGTTGACAGAGACAGATACCCTGATACAGATGACTGAAATTTCTGCATACTTCACTCTCACCGATCGTCACATTACCCACATTCACACTGATGGGTACCACAAGTCGAGGGAACTGCAACAAAATACATGTAATGTCGCGAAAGAGTCTCTCCATTGTGTGGAAATGGAATAAAATAATCGTTGGAAAATATTCAAAGCATTTGGTTTTTTAAATTGTAAATAAGGAGAATAATTTATGTGTGACGTTCCTTTGGGCTTCAGTTTTTACCTTCTTTTTAGGAACTGTTTGCCAGAATCTTCTGTGCGTCTCTGTGTGTGGTTTGCTAACAACAAACACAAACAAACAATTCTCATACGTATGCAATCAATACACAGCACATATGATAAAGCAGCTGCAGTTGCAACAACAACAACAACTACAACAACAACAACAATGCCAACAACAACAACAATAACAATAACAACAACAACAACAACAACAACAACAACAACAACAACAACAACAACAATAAAAACAACAACAACAACAACGACAACGACAACCAAAAACACCACCACCACCAACAACAACAACAACAAACGTGAGACCGCCCTCACCTGGGCGGAGCGGAGAGAGTCGGACGCGAAAAATTTGACGATTTTTAGAATAGAAAGAAAGAGACGCGATCCCAAGTTAACGATCTTTTGAACTGAAAGAAGAAACGTACGGAAGCGAAATCTTCGACGATCTTTTGAACAGCGCGAGGCAAGGTGATCTTGACAACTCATAGTGGCAATCCCTAAATAACCCAAACGCATTTAACCATATCACATAATAGATAGTGGACTCAAATAGCATGTTTTGCTGTGTCGTAAAAGAACGCGTACCTGTGTGTGCGTGTGCGTGTGTAAAAATCAGTAGTGGTGTGTAAAAAAATGAGTAGCAGGTGTGTCCAAGAAGGTGTAGTTGGTTCCAGACGTGTAGTTATCGCGTAGTTTGTTGAAGACAAGCGTATATTGGTGTGTAGGATTGTCAAGAGTTTGTGCACACTCGAGTTTCTCGTGGGATTCAGAATGGACACGAAAAATGTGCGTGTGTGGATGGACGGAAGGTAACCCTTAGTGTAAACCGTTGCCAGTATAGATTAACCCTCTCCCACCAACATACTGACAACACACACTTCCACCCATACACTTCCATTCACATACTTAAACTTAAACCTACACGATGGAGGCTCTCGTGGTCCAGAGGTTACGGTGTTCGCCTCTCATTCAATAGGTCCCGGGTTCGAAACCTGACAGCGACGGAATATTTTCTTCTCTGAGATTTTCCCTTTTCACCTTCTTTCCAGCTCTCTAACCATGTTCTGTTTTCTGCTTTCGTCTCCACTTTCTGCCCCCCCCTCCCTTTGCCCCCGCCTCTGGACTCCTGAATCTTTCTGCAGCCTTTCTACTTCCACTGCTTGGCACCTTTTTACTTCTGTCTTTCAATCCTACTCTTTATCTTGTGATAGGTAAGATCTAACAAATAGCCTTCTCGGATAAGAACGTAAAATCTCGGAGGTCCCGTGTGCAAGTTGCACACTTTAAAGATCTCTCGGTGGTCCGAAATCTATAAGAGCAGGCTTCTGCCGTCACCCGGGCAAAATTCCAAATTTCCTACCAACTGAAAACGTTTGGTGTTTCCCGCGCGCTCATTTGACCTTGTGCAGTTACGAGCGCCGTAAGACATACCCAAAAATAAAATTAAAAAAATACCCGTACACTTTCACCAATATACTCACTCCCACCTACTCTCCCACACATTTACACGGACACCCACATACTCCCACCCGTACACTTACCCACACAAACTCACACCCGCCCACTCAAACTGACATCCATACTCTTGCACCCCTACACTCAAACCCACACACTCACACACCCACAAACTCACTCCAGCATACTTACACCCACAAACTTAACATAACTACACCCTCACGCCTACTCTCGCATACATACACATGCAAATGTCTGTCTATCTATCTATCTATCTATCTATCTATCGATCGATCGATCGATCGATCTATCGATCTATCTATCTATCGATCTATCTATCTATCGATCTATCTATCTATCTATCGATCGATCGATCGATCTATCAATCAATCGATCGATCGATCTATCGATCAATCGATCAATCGATGGAGACTATTTTGGTAGAGAGTGTTACAGAAATAAATAAACGAACCGCCAACACTGGCCGAAGTACAAGCTGCCATTGAGAAAAGGAAACAAGAAAAGCTACGCGGCAAGACACTACTCTTGTATAGCTGCACACTCGTGGATTTAAGCCTGCCTGCCTTCCCACTTCCTTACTGCATGTCAACTTACCTACCTGCCTGAATATCTGTCTGCTTGTCTGTCTGTCTGTCTGTGTTGTCTTCCCTTGCGAACATTCCTTTTTTCTGAGGACAATCCCCAACATAATATTTTCTCCATCCTCCCTGACCCCTGACACGTCTCTCCTTCCGCCCTTTACCTCTGACCTCTGATACTTATACTTTTTACTTCTCTCATACCTCCCTTGATTCTGACATCTGTCCTCTGATACTTCTCTCCGTCCTCACTTGACCTCTAGCCTCTGTCATTTCTCCAACTGTTTCAGCTTCGACCTGCTCCACTGCGGACACGCCAACGCCATACGCCAGGTGAGTGCACACTGAGGGCGGGGCTGTGTCGTTACAATCTTTGGTTACGTTTGTATGAAGGACCGACATCACTGCACAATGGGCATCCCCATAAGCGCTCCGTCCCCTGAAGAAACACATCTCGAAGTGTGTAGAAGCTAACGGTTCCAAGCAATGGTTGATTCCATAGCCTTCTGCTCCTCCCGCTAAGTCTTGAATTTCTGCAGGCGCCCCTTCCAATAATCCTTGGTTACATACAAGATAAATCAACAACATATTTCACCTAACCCTCAAGCCCATAGAAGGGAAATGACCGCTGTGTGGATGGTTGGCGTGTGCTCTGGTGTGGTTTTCTCCTTTTTTCCTATCAAATATCTACCATCCTTGTCTCTCCTCCTTTTTTGTGTATGTTACCCTCTTGTAATACCTCTATTTTCCGGCACATATATGACTTTACTGTGTTGTAAGTGCCGTAAAACTCGTACTAAAACTAAAGCCGCTGCCCAGTCACTGGCTAAAATTGCCATATTTTCAAGTCATAGATGTTACATCTCTTTTTACTACATCCACAACTAATAGATTCAGTTCTCTACTAAATACTTTCTGCTTTCACAACTTACAGACATTAGATCTTTACTTGCTATTTTCATGACCACTAGATGTCAGTTCTCCACTACATACTTGCTACATTAACAAGTTATAGATATTAGATTTCTACTTGCTACATTCACAACTATTAGATGTTAGATCTCTATTGCATACTTGCTACATGAACAACTTATAAAAGTTAGATCTCGACTATTTATACTTGCTATACACTCAACTGATAGGTGTTGGGTCTTTACTTGCGGTCCTATCGCTGTTATGTTTCAAATTGTTACGTCTCCCTTTCAAAGCTGTTCACTTCTCACCGTCAATATTCGTTTCTTACTCGTGAATCTGTTATTGTTTTGCTGTTATTTTTATTAGCCTTTATTTTTGCTTTCAGGCCAGGGAGTTTGGCAACGAGCTGACCGTTGGACTACAGCCTGATAGTGAGTGGTTCAATTCTTCTAACAAATGACCCTCCCCTTCATTGCCCTCGCCACCGTCCTTTCACCCGCCACCACTCTCTCCCTGAACCCCCCCCCCCCACCTTTCCCATCGGAATTACATTCACAGTAAATATCAGCATTCACAGTATAGGATTTAGGAAGAAAGTTTTTTTTTTGGTGGTAAGCAGTCTTCGACCCACAGAGACTTTAAAACAAGACTATTCAATTATAGAAACATAGTGTGACAAGGTGGTTCCAATAGGGAACGGGATAGAGAGTGCCCACGTCCCTCGTAACTCATTGGAGTAGAGGAAGATAGGACTAACACTAACATTACTTAAACGGAATCCCACATCATCACTCATCTCCCCCATTATACCTAAAATCATCAGCACTCTCAGAGATCTACGACTTACTTCTATAATCCTGGAATCTCTATCTGCTATTACAGTAACTTGTTATACTAAGTATGCACGTGATACACTATTGGACACTAACATACGCACTTTTTTCTACTAATCTGAAGGCGTCAATCTCATATAAATAGGCAAGGGATAAAAAAGAGAAACATAGCGTGAGACCGATACTAAGTTGTTAACGGTTTGGAGGGGGGGGGGTG